ATAAGTCTCTACATTGTGGCAAATGATTGTTTTATTTATGACAGCTAGCTATTTTGATTTCAAATACTGATGTTTAATGTTTGATTCGAATTACATAAATACCAAACACAGGCATTAAATATTGTTGACCTCTTCAGTATTAAATGTTTTGAGAAAATCTTTGACAGACAATGCGTTCATATCGTATCGTTAATACAAAACTAGTCACGAAAATTATTTGCTTCGAATCATAAAAAATCGCACATTATAAAACTATTTTAAAATAAGGATTTTTACCTTCTTTAAACATTTACAATCATAAATAAAAAATACCGTCTTTTTGGAACGGGGTTTCTTCTTGACGCTTTGTTTATGAATATGGCAAACTCATACAATAATATTAGACGTACTCGCACAATCTGTGGGAATGTTACGTGTTTTATTACTGAGGGATAATTAATTATTGTCCTAGATTCGTCCGTCATACCCGCAGGTGTTGAAATGGATCCAATTCACACAATACCAGCTGCTTAATGCGACTGGGTAATGTTGATTCATAAGATGAAAGCGAATTGTGAAATAATGTTCGCTTTAGATAATATTTATTACTTTCTTTTCTAACCTTATACGGTAATACTTCTGGTCGTTGCTTAGAATAGAAATATTTAGTATTTTTATTGTACTGACGTAATAATAAACACATAAAGGTTATTAAGGTGGGCTTCGGTAGGAAATTATTTATAGAGATAGAATCAGACATGCTTCATAAGTATCGATAGGAACCTTCCCTAAGCTTTAAATTAGAGTGGCATTATGGCGATTAGCTCATAGTGAAACTGATTTGAGAACCATTAGAGGAAAAAAGAAATCCTGTAAGAAACTTCCTAGCAATTCTGCATTTCGTTGTCAAATATTGTCTTATAAAATCTAATTCCTTAATCTCTTATTGACTGCTGGGGTCGACCTCCTTCCCCAATGAATGGCCTGACCTTATTAACCCGTAGGGGACATGTTTACTGTTATGCTTGTAACTTTTGTCGTCACCGAGAATTATATTGAGCTTAAATAGCTCTGTAAGTTCCTTTATTACATCGTGTTAAAATGGTGTTTACGGCTTGCTAATTGCTGTAAAATGTCCTTGTTTAAGATTTTGGGGTAATTCTGAACTACATTTAAGGTTAGATGATATAACAACCTATATTTATTTATTCGTCGTCATTAGTTTTTAACTTACGTTATAAAACTTCGGTTTGGGTTTCGGATTCTGTATGAAATTATCAGTATATATGTACGAATCGATTTAAACCAAATTACCAATAAATTACAATTCTTAACTATGGAAATTAGTTTTAGTTTAAGACATTCATAAATGAAAACTAATTTCCATAGTTTTCATTTATGAATGTGTTGTACACACTTTAAGCTTATATATTTTTAGATTGTATCTACCAAAGTTATAATTATTTTTACTACATTATTAATATGAATATATTACCACTATGCACCTTCAAATAGCTGAAAAGTATATAAAGTAACGAGGAATAATAAAACAAATTACGCCAGTTCTCTGTGTAATCTTGAAAAATTAACGTTTCTAAGGAAGAAGCCTCCGTACCAAATCCAGTATTATATTTATGTGAATTACGGCTTTTCAGATTTTTTTCGAGCCGTGGAATGTAATTTTCCCATTATTCGTCTCGTTTGTATTAAGTTGAATCTTTTATAAAGCGTGTCTCACAAGCGAGTACTCTAATGATGATTTACTGGTGCGAGGTCCCGAAGGCGGCGTAATTTCCCCTCTGAGGTGTCAGTACACACACTCTCCTATAGCAAAAACAAACGAAGATCTCCGCTTAATCATTCATTCCTTACAAGCGAGGTCGCTTCATTAGGATTTATTTCTTTGGTCGGTCACAATGAAATAGTGTGATCATTTTTCTTCTAGAAATAGACAATTTTAATGTAATTGTTTAACGTATGTTGTCTTTGATTGAAGGTAATGTAGAGGGTTTGCAAACCACATAAGTTTGTCCGTCCCTTCGACCCGTTTAATTAACGCAACCCGAGGAGAATATGAAATGTTCTCAAATAGCTTTATTTACTGAAAATAGCAGTATTCTCTCTAATAATAATTTTATATTTTGAAACGTATAAAATTATTTTTCAGTAAATATAACTAACGAGTACATTTTTTTAAACGCAATAGAACTAAATATTAATGAATTAAAACATTTAACTTGAAGATCGTCTTACAAACTCGTATAAAGCCAACATTTGAAGTTTTTATATTGAAAGTTGAAACAGACTTTTCAAGTTTGAAACCTAACATATGCAACTTTTACTGCTATAAAGTATAACATTTTGAAATTACAAGTAACAAGTAATAAACAACGGTGTATAAAAGTTTTAACTTTTAATCACAACATTCAAGTGACTACCTACATGGCTACGTTTCTACTGAACGCGACATATAATAGAAGGACTGAGGACAAGTAAATTGGTTTGGGCCAAACTAAATTATTTAACCTTACACAGAATTATTGGAGGTTTTACAGTATTACTATGATTTCTTATCATCTTCCCAAATAGCTTTTTATAGCATAGTTACTAATAATAATGTAATAATAACTCATATATTTCAGATAATATCTATTTTTAGATTTAGTTAGAGTTATTACGATTCGTTCTTAGTTGCTATTTTAGTATTGGCTAGTAAACAAAACAAAAAAAACACCCATAGTGGGTCTCATGGACAGCATACCAACGTATTTAGATATGTGTGTTCTTTGTAACCAGCACATTCAGAATACTATTAGTTCTATGCCTAAAATACCTAACTGACGCACTGCAGAACCTCGACAAGCCCAGTAGCACCTGAACACCTTATTTGTAAAACGGGACCATACGAGTAAAATGACTGAAAATACGCCTTGAACAGAATAACTTTGACTTATGGTGAGATACGTGCAAACATCCGGGCCAGCATATTACATCGCTTAGCGATGTGCCACTCAAACGAGTGACAAAATTGGTGGAATTGTATGGTCTTTATTATCGCTAATTAATATAAATATAACTATTAACTTTTATTTTAGTTAAGCCCGCGGTTTGATTATCAGATATATTTAATTCGTAAGATGAGCTCTGTCCCAAATTTTACCTGCGGGTTACTTGCCAATATGCGTTAACAAATTACCCATAGCGTAATGGAAAATATAATAGATTTTAAAGCAGATTTAGATATATAGCTTCATAAATAATAGAGGTATATAAGATTGAGATATCCACGATTTTAGTTTCAGTTACGCGACTGTTTGTAAAACATCAGTTCTTCGTTGTTGTTTTTCAATTTCCGTCCGCTGACACGTGGAATTGAAACTGTGAAGTTTTGTTTCCCTGCAGGAAATAATACATTTATTCTCTTGTATATAACTAGGTGTTCGGTTAATCAAATGATTATTACTTAATAATATTCTGTTGTTTATAACAGAATATCATTTAATTAACATCATCTCCGAAAAATATACAAAATTTCAATATTATAAACCAGTGTCATACGAAAATTCACATTTACCAGATCATACAACAACCTTTATACAACTTTTCGAGTGCTTAGCTAGAGAGGTAAAAGATTGAAGGAAGCAAATCTTGCTATTACTTGTTTGGCCCGAGGGTCAAAATATAGCCACCCTGTGCTTTCTCTAAAAATACAAAATTTTACTGCTGGTAAGCTAAGCTGTTTTAAATTTTGTCGGTATAGGTTATTTGAACTGTATAAAATATTTCTAAAAACCGTAACTAAATAACCGAATATAATGTATGTAATTTGAAATATATTTTATATACTCAACAAAGCAAGGTATCAATACAAAGCAGATTTATATTGACATTCTCAGATGAAATTGACTTATTTTTTACTTTTCTCAATACAAGCCGTTATAGTGACATCTCTCGGGAGTAGGACGGACTGTACGTGAGCCGTAAACTAACTTCTAGTACTGATTTAGAATTCCTCCACCAGGCCATTTTATCTTATTACTAAGATCATAATTCGTTATGTCAATAGAAGATGTTACTCAAATTAGCTACGAAAATAGCACGTTGAAACAACTCTTTTATAATTAGCCACCCTATTAACGCGGTCTATAGACAGTCCACTATCTGTTACCATGGTGATTTTTTAATGTAGAAAATCTTATGAAATGTAGTTACTATCATATGTACACACGTTAACATGTCCACGCGTAAAAGTGTTAGTCATCAAAAGTATTCATGAATGAAAAAAACATACAAGCTCCCACCTTTTCAAAAGGTGAGTTACAGAATCGCAGGGCTGCTTTTTTTTAACTTAAAATTACGATTAAACTTTACTATAAATTTGATATCAAAAGCTACATTTACTTTTCCAAGCATCTAAATAAATACTGAATAATATATTCGTAATATTAAAAATTAACAATACATTCCAATAATACGGATAATATTTCCTCACGCTAAAATAAAATAAAAATGAATTAAAAATGTACGTCAGAAAGAACCATTTAAACTTATGAAATATAAATATGTAATATAATGAAAAATAGTTTTTTTACTAGTATAAATAGAGCTATTGATTTTGAAATAATTACAATAAAAAATTATGAATTCCTATTCCATATCAAGCATTAACTGGTTCTCGCTTACGGAAGTGATCTGTAACTGAAATAATAATTCGCAAAGTCAGAAAAAAATTCTAACAAAATCCTCTTTTTATAACTGCTTTTCATATTTTTAATAAAAGGTGCATAAATTACCGATGTACACGCAATATGTAATCTGCGAATGTTCGGCGCATGCGCGGGACAGTTAAGTTTTAAAATTAGACGCGTCGCCGGATTTCGCTGGCCTATTTATTCTTATACTACCGCAACTCCACTCCGTATTGAAGTCCATTGTCAATTCAGATAATAAACAATTCCATACAATATGGGAACAGTGGGGATTAAAATGGCGATACGTTAAGGTTAAAAGCTAGAGTGAAAATGTGTGGGAAATGTGTTTCATTGTGTTTGTTGTTTCTTCTGAAACAAGGTTAGTTTGCTACTTATTAAAGTTAGATCAATTATTTAGATTATAAGCGAAATTTGCATAGATGTGTAAAGAAAAGAGGTGTTAGAAAAGCTTTGTCTGTGAGATTTCAATAGTCGCATACGTCTAAAATGATTCATAGTTATTAATATACAACAAAATATATTGCGTTTATTTTGTATGTATTCGTCGAAAATGGTTTATCGGCTTACCGCGAGACTCTGAAAACAGGGGATAACGAATGTTATTATTTATCTGAGAGAAGTCACAACCAAAAATGTCAAAGCTTTTCTATTTTTGCATCCTCATTTATTATTTCGTGTATTTAAGCAGTGTTGCTAGCGCACAAATCACAACTCTCGGGTCGTATTCGAATAACAGTTATACACAAATTCTACTTTCCGTGTATGCAATTTATGTCTCGTTCGTACGGCGAAGCAAAACATCAAGCGGAAACCTAACTTACAGAAGTATGATCACCTACTGTAAGACCATGGGAGGTGGCACCATTTGTTTTTTTAATGTTTATATGAGACAATATACAATTACATTGATTCGGATAAATTTCTCAATTTACACAAAATATACAAGTGATCGTCTTGTTAATAATTAAATAATCATGTTTTTAAGTTACACATTGTACACTTAAAAATCTATATATGTTTACATCTAATACAATTTTAGGTTCATTTATAAAAAAAAATTTAAGGCAGGCAGCCTCCCGAAAGTATTCTAACTTCGCCGAAAGTTTTATTCAGCACCACCTAGAATCGAATTAAAGCTAAGTTATTAGAATCTCTTAATCTCCTTTTAAAGGCGTCGGCTAGTTCATAAAATCTTTTTTACAGAGTTTGCAGTAAGCATTCGAATCACAGAGCTTACTGTACCGAGTCATGCTGTAGAAAGCGGGTCCGTACTACTCCAATGCCAATATGATCTTGAAGGAGAAATGTTGTATTCCCTCAATTGGTACAAAGACGGAATAGAGTTTTACAAATATGTACCAAGCAATAACGTTCAGTATAATTTTTTTCCGCAGATCGGAGTCAATGTGGATGTAAGTAAATATCATTATATACTTACTACTTCTTAAGACTGGTTGAACGCGCTATTCACAGAAATTCCTGGTGCGAATTGAAATCTTTTTTCTGAATAGTCTATTTATTTATCGATGAACTCACGCTATGGCCGTAACAACAAAGTGACGACGTTACCGTAGGGCATAAGGCAAAACTTTAGTTTCGTGAAGTTTCGGTCGATATAATAATATATTTTCACATTCCTTTACTACGATTAAAACAATATTTTGCATAATTATTTAATTATATTATAATTAATAAAGATAACGAATAATAGGAATGTAAAGGCATTTGTAAACACTCTATATTTGTGTGTAAAGTAAAAAATATCTCATAATTAATCATGTAAATTAATAAATATTAAATAAATGTTTCTATATAATTAAATGTAATTGGCCAACACGAAAGTTGGCCAAAGCCGATAGATAACTTTTAGGTTTTTCCTATTGAACGTGCGCGAACTGGTTTTTTATTTTTCTGTAAAATGTATAACAATTTAACCACCGATATCGTACATACACATATTGGGAAATTTAACCTGCCCCAGTTCTCATAAACGAGGACCTCTCTAGATGTTAAACACTCGATTCCATAAAACAATATTTAGATAACATTACTTGTTAAGTGCGTGCCGCTACATTCAATGAACATCTAAATGTCTCTATAGTGTATAACAAACATGACTTTATTCGTTTAGTGGTTAGCATATTCAACTCCAGACCGTGACGTTCTGGTTGCGGGAGAAAATATTAAACTTTAGTCCTAAGTAAAAAGTTGGCAGTAGTTGAACAGCCCGATGCCTCCGTGAGTACGTATAAGGTTATCCTGCTGTTGCAACTGAGCTGGAGTGGCATCTGGTTTTTATGCTATACTAACGGGATTTGTGCTTTTGTTCTATTTATTATAAATTAGCGGCTGCGGCCGAGATCGATATGGACTATGTTTATATGTGAAAATTTCTCTGGACTTTTGGAATACAATTATCGTTTATAATCTCCTTTACAATAAGTAAATTTGTTCTATCCATATCGTTGAACGACATAATAATGGAGAAATTTGCGACTTATTGTGATTTTTAACTATGCTATAGAACTATATTGTTACTACCCACAACTTACCAAGGTTTTTTAAGAAGGAAGTTTTTTTATGTACCTACTGTGTACAAAATACATAATTTATCGAGAAAAAATTGTTTGACACTACCAAGATTTTGTTACACTTAAATTATTGAGTAGGCGTCTTACGTTTTATTAAATAATTACAGGAAAAAGATTCTTCAAGTAACGTCATAAAATTGACAAACTTGACTTCCGATTCTGCTGGATTGTACAGATGTGAATTGTCGGGTGAAGGGCCTTATTTCATAACCGTTCATGACGAAAGAAATATCAGTGTACATCGTAAGTATCTAAAATATATATTATATAAATCTATAATAATAAAAATATTTTCGTACATTAATAAAAATTGCAGATAATTAAATACCAAAATAATAAAATCCTCACCGCTGTACTAAGGGAGTGAACTTTCTTACCCAAACATTAGACTTATTTAATTTTCGGTTTTAAAATATTGAGTCGTTATGAATACATAAAATTGATTATTGACACTCATGTCTGTCTATAAAATTAATTTCTCTTTAATTTACTAGACTGAAATTGCTTGATGTACATGTTTTTATTTCTTGTAAATTGGTTCCCCGTTTCTCATATTTGGCCTAAGTTGTTTAACATAATTAATTTTGAAATAAAATTGGCATTACAGATGCCAAACAAAATAGACACATTCCGAAGACACAATAGTTAAATAACGTGTAAATATAATAGCTATTTGTGGGTATTACGTTCCCCAGTTAAATCCACATTTGGCATGCAACTAAGCTAAAGTCAAATAAATTATTTGCACCAATAATTCGGTAATCCAATCCTGCACTATTTATGCGCCTATAGTGTTCATAAATTTAAAATCAGTAAGTTGATTACAAAATGTAAAAGATGAATTTAACTGCATTGAATGTTCTATATTTTGCAAAGGCTCAAAAGATTATACAACTGAGAACAGTTACAGTAATAGCAATATATGTTTAATGGATTTGTTTTTACAAAGCAGTTGCCAATATATAAAGACCCATAACTTGTATAAATATACTTTTGCGGCTTTGCCTAGAATTATGTGTTTTAATACTGACAGATTTTCCACTACACTAATATGTTTCAGTACTACCATATAGACGGCCCCAAGTAACAGGGCTCGAAGAAGAATATAGAGCAGGGGATATCATAGCTGTCAACTGCTCATCGTCAAGATCTCGGCCACAGGCCCGATTAAAATGGCTAATTAATAATGAGGCAGCTCCAAGAAAATACGTCACCGGTCCCTGGTATAGAATATCGAGAGAGCGTCCGGATGCAAGAGAAACTATACTACAATTAAGATTCATTGTGAAAAAAGAACATTTTGAAAATGGAATATTGCAACTGAAGGTATTGTTTCTTCATTATGGTAGAAGTTTTTAGTAATATGAATATACTACCGTAACAATACCAGCGCAGGTATTTCATAATACGGTAACTAGAATGTTCAGAAGGCTTTGCTATTTATTTTTAACATATATAGATAAAAGAATCCCTTTGTTTCGTCGAACAGTTGGTTTAAAAATATAATGTTCATGAGTTGTACGTATGTATTTGTTATTATCAAAGAAACTGTAATATTTTTTTAACATTAAATTCAACATCTGTATTCGTATTTTGTTTTTGCTAAAAATATAAGAAACAGAATACAATATAAAATGAGAAAAATTAAATATACATAATTAATATTATAAAACTGAAGGGATTTGTTTGGTTGGTTGAAAGCGCTAATTTCAGGAATAACTATTCCAATTATTTAAATAGAGTTTATAACATCACGCTACGACCGACTCAATAGCCAAACCATCAAATTCATGGTATCTTGAACGCAACATGAATAAAGATTAGACTATATTTGCATGTATAATTTAAACATGGATTGTTACAATAGAATTATTCCACCATAGCGAATCGTATTCACTATAAAATTTTCAGTGTCAGGCCACTATAGCGCCTTTATATCAAGACGAGGTTATACACCATATAATACGCGCAGAAGACAATAGGATCGATCCGATATCTGAGGACGTAATGAATGAAGAAATAAACAGGTTATTCGATCAACATACTCAGCTAAGCTCGTATGATGACATAGAGATGACGGTAGCTGAATCTCAGAATGGCCAAGGTAGGCCATAGTCCGTTTTTGGTTAATAGTCTAGTTGGAGTGATTGCTTTTTATTTACAAAGAAATGCTTATGTGATATTTTGTTTTACAGGTATCGGAGCTATCATGAGAATTTCCGGTTTAAGCGTTATGATGATGGTTGTATTACAAATTTTACTATGATGTCACAATTATAATACTTTTGAAACTAAAGATGTTAAGAAGGTTTCTCAATGTTCAGCAAATTATGGTTTTTATATTACTGCATATAAAACTTTGATATTCTAATTGCATTTAGTTTCGCATGAAATTCCGCTAAAGTTTTTATTTTTTGTTAATAATTAAGAGACTTTCTTTTGGCCGTTCTAGTTGTGTAAAGTTTTTAGTTATACTGTAGTGTAGAAACTGCCAGTATTAATATGTAAACAAAAGTGCGAACAGTGTATCGCTGCATTTCCGAATGAGCTTTATTTGAAGTTAATTTTTTGTTATTAAATGCTTTTGAAAGAAAAGTCAGTTTATATTTCATCGTTTATTTACAAAGCGTATAAAGTGAGAAATTATGAGCAACAGTCTGGTTGGAGAATCCATTAGTATCCAGAACCTCTGGGTCCGTTTGGTCCACCACTTGGATAGCCTTCGTCGTCACCACCTGATCCAAACCCAGGGCCTCTCAGACTTTGGCCGCGACCGGGATACCCAGCACCAGGGACGTTTCCTCCTTGTCCACCCGGTGCATTTTGTCCAAAACCACCAGAGATACCTTGAGAACCGGGACCTCGCGGATAACCAGCATCAGCACCAGCAAACGCATTCGCACCTGCACCACCACCAGGATATCCTTGGCTGCCCCCTTGACCAACTCCAAGACCACCACCTATAAATATTTAGATAAAACAAAAATAAAAAAGTTTAAATAAATCAATGCGTAGGTCAGGTCAACTCTCTGGGTACTTTAAAAGTTAAATATCAACTTTAATCTTTTAATTAATGTAGTGTTTACAAGGGAAAATAAGTATTTAATGTAATTTATGCTGTATACGCGTGTAAATCTAAAAATTAAGACAGATTCGGGCCAATTATCGTAATGTATCTTCTGAAAAAAGTTGTTTAAATATTTACCAAAACCAACGCCGGAGCCAAAACCAGATCCGGAACCAGATGCATCTCCTGAAAACGCAAAAATATATTTAAAATACCGAAACATTTATGTAAGTGAATAGTTTCGAATCGAGACCAGTGAAACGAACGCAACCAGTGTTTTCAAACAAAGGGCCATTCTATATAAATATCGAAATACGCTGTTTGCCTCATTGTGATTCATTCCGAATACGGACAACGGCCAATAATTTAAGATAATGCTGCATGCTTTTTTAAATTCAAATAAAATTATACTAAACCCATTGCTTAATTTTATAGGAAAGAATAAACAAACCCTCGTATCGTATTTGAGGCTTATATCCATCCTGGTCAGCCTCATACTCAACAATCTGTTTCCTACCGTCAGGCAGCACTACGTTATATTCCCCTATAGCCACATCACCATCTCTTTGCTCGGAATGACCGAATTTTGTACCTGTTTCAGCATCGTCTACCTCATAACTAAACTGATATTTGGCAGGTTCCTGCAAAAATAAGATTTAGTAAAATATAAGCTTTAAAGGTCTTAATTGAGTTGTATTTATTTTCTGGTTTTACTTAAAGATTAGCAGTTATTTTTAACTTACATTAGAACCGTCTACCCCTGATCCACGATAATTTTGACTTGAACCATCTAGATTATTACCGAAATCAGGGGTTCCATAAGATGATGAAGGTGAGCCTCTCTGTGGTTGACGGCCTCTACTTCCAGGGCGAGAACTGGAACCGGAAAAGCCACCTGAACCAAAATCACCGGATGGCTGGAAGCCACTTGCAGGTGTTCCATAGGCAGCATCAGGTCTTTGGGCATTACGTCCTCCAAATTGGTTATTACCACCTTGATTTGGTGTACCGTAAGATGTTTGAGGACGATTGCTACCTGAACCAAATGAGGATTGCCCATCAAAACCGTTTGGAGATCCGTATTGCGAACTTGGTATGTTTCCCTGCCCTAATCCACGTTGACCACCCCTTGGAAAACCAGATCCTTGGCTAGGTGCCCCATATTCGGAGGTCAGGGATTGTCCCGAGCCAGGTGTATTAAAGCTATCGGCAGGTTGATTTTGGAATCTTTGAGATTGAAGCTGGCCCTGGCCCCTTTGGCCATTTAGAGCTGGTGTGCCATATTGAGAAGATGGTCTAGAATTACTACCAGATGGAGGTAGATAGCTGTTAACTGGTGGTTCACATTTAGTTGTGGTCCACACAAGTGCAGTTAAACAGATCGCCCACTGAAAATAAACTTCTATAAATTAGCAATTGAATGATAAAAAATGTGCCAGTAAATTTTATTGAAATCAAATTTTACTTACTAGAATCATCGTGAATTCGATTTTATTAAGTTATTCGATATTTAAGAGGAGTATTATTGCCCTTAATACAAAGGGCTGTTGATACTGGAAGTTGACTCCTGAATGTTTTAAAGTGGATTAACTCGGACTTTATATAGGAACGATTCTAACGAAGAGCGTGATACAGGCCAAAGTACCTCACGCGTTTCGTGTCCTTTCATAGGTATAATTTCGTACGAAGCACGAGATAGAAGCTTTTGTATAATTTATTATGAAATCAATCTTGGATACATAATAACTTTTTATCTCATATTTTTAATATATAACTGGTAGATAGTGACTAAAATGGCCACTGAATGGTCATCAAGGTACCGTAATAAGTATGATAAGGGTGACTTGGGTAATTAAACTTTTTGGCTTCTTTCTTCTCCTTCTTCTTCTTTATCGTTCATTTTGTCGTTCATAATAATAATAGTTACTGCATTAATTTTTACATTTAAAAATAAATTATATGGAAATTTGGTACTTAATTTTATGAAATTGCAAGTTATGCCGTAGTACTTAGTTAGTACTCACCCGTGACAGAACTTTAGTTATAACACGAACAATACAAAACATCGAAATCATAAAGGTAGTAACGATAAAATTTAAACCATAAAATTTAACAAAAGACGACCATCAAACATTCAAATAGGATTCGTCTAGTCTTTCGTATTAATCTTGAATGGAGAATACATGCTTGATATCATCGTATTGAAAAACCTACCTATACGAAAGCTGTAAATAATGTCTAGATCAAGCTAAAAAGTCAGTATTGAAAAGGTCCACGTAAACAAATTACAGATTGAAGTTACATATTTGCTAAAAGAGCCAAGTCATTAAGGTATATTGCATTGCACAACACAGCTGCGCTTACGCCGTGCTCGTGTCGGGATGACACCGATGCACATGTCACGAACCATTGCAAATGGTCTATATTCAATATTTAATGGTAATATTTTAAATCTTAGACTTTGAACTTGTGCAATAGTTTAGTTGCATCTCTTGAAACAAAATTATACAGATACATATATTGAATATTGAAAACTTTAACGAATTAGTTTAGAAAAATAGGTTTGCTGTATAATTTGAAATACCATAAATTCATATGATAAAATAAGAAGGAAATCCTAGCTTCATATATAACGGCGAAGTTATTTCTCTCCAAAAACAAGATAAATAATAATATTCTTAGGTCACGTTATACAATCTGTTTGCAACATAAGCAATTATTTATATAAACTAGCTGATGCCCGCGACTTTGTCTGCGCAGGATTAATATAATATTTGCCCAAGTGATGTAGCGTGAACGATATTTTATCTACTTTAAGTACCAGAAGCGATAATAGTATCTATTTTCATTTACGAATTTATTTTTTAATTAATTTAAACTTAAAAATTAATTACTACCAAATATGCATTTGAAATAAATTGTTATCAATTTTCATTGTAGTTATGGTTCACTATTCGCTATAATGGCTTACACATAAGACATATATATATTAATACTGTGGCGGGCTTTTTTGTAGAACTATTTCAGATAAACATTTCCATCACATCATTACATATGTGTAACTCTAGCGGTTTTGGCAGCGCACGGCAGAATAGCTCGCAGATGGTAGATTTTTTCCTGCTTACTTGATATTTTGGACAATTCACACAATATCTTTATAAATTGTAGCCCATGTGCTATTCTGATGCTATGCTATATTATTGTAAACAAATCAACAAACATCCATCCATACTTACTAACTTTCGCCCTTAAAATATTAGTAGGATAACATCATTTCATACTTCAACTTCCCAGTATTTTGAGGCATTATCAGATTTTTTTATCATAAATATAATATTAATTAGGAAATGATAAGCCTACGTTAACCCAAGCTCTGAAGAAATTAACTTAAGAATACAAAGCCGAGTCTATGGAATTTGACGATTCGGCTTTGTTTGATATCTATTTGGAGTTCTAATTTTTTTATTTTTTTTAGAGAAAAAAACGGACAATGGGTAGGAGGCTGACCTGATGTTAAGTAATACCGCCGCCCATGGACACTCTCAATTCCAGAGGGCTCACGAGTGCGTTACCGGCCTTTCAAGAATTGGTACGCTTGTCTCTTATTTTTTTTCGCTTTTCGCTTCTTGAAGGTCCCTAAGTCGAATTGGTTAGGAAATACTTCAGTGGGCAGCTAGTTCCACATAGTGGTGGTGCGCGGCAAATGATGATCACAGGAACTAGAAGAATAGTATTTTACAATTTTATATATGTTATGTATGTATGACTTTGACTTTTGACTTTGACTTTATGCATGCGACTCACAATCCGAGGTAAAATCCCGGCGCAATTAACACTTGTTCGTATGTAGACGATACATATTTTATTATGAGGAACGGGCATGTTTTAGACCGAAAAAATTGATGACATATCAGTCACAGAAGTTTGATCATCTGCTGGTCTATGCTAAAAATAATGATAAAAGAAATGGATGCAATCAGACGATTATAAAACCTGGAGCTAAAATTAACTAGATTTCGCTGATATTCTGCAATTATATTCTTATTCAGAATTGAGTAACATAAATATTGTAATAATGTAAACACGACAAAGATATATTTTATTTCAAAATATTAGCATATAACAATACACAGCCAACAATAACAAAATCTAATGGTGAACTAAACAATTGTATCAAAAGCAATTGTATGAAAATAAACATGTATTAAAATATCTAGTAACATTTCATTCTTTACTGACTTATTGCCCGTATTCCTCTTAAGCTATCTTTCTTGAATACTTAGTGCGTTTTCCAATTACCGCACTAGAGCGCATTTTGCGGCATAATGCTCAACGTTGAGTGTTCCAACTACAGCAACGCTTCGCACAATTGAGCACTCTCAAAACGAATGCTCTCGCAAACAATACCAACACAGTGACAGAAAATTGACCAGTATTTTTCTTTAAGTTGGCATTTATCGAAATTTTCGTTAGTAAATATTATTTATTGTTGAAAAATTTGTAAGGCTTTCGTTTCGTCGTAGATTTTGAAAATAATTAAAGTTATTTCAAACTGCTAAAAAAATAAATATTAGTATGGATGAAGGTATAAATAGTTACTTTTTTTATATTCCACATTTAAAATATGAATACAATTTTATTTTAAAATTCGGATCTGTAAACAAATTTACTTTACAGGATTATACTTTAGAAAAAATTGTAATGGTTTTGAAAAAGTATATATTTTTTTAGAAATCATTAAAAAATATTACTCAAAACGTAAATGATGTAAACTTCTTACATGAAACTAAATATTTTACTGTTAATTTAGCTTGTTAAAACCTTATAGTCTTTAAAGGTTTTCTCTTATTTCAGTAAAAAAAAATAATGAAATAATTTGATTATTAAATTAAGCGTAAAAAGTTTTCAACCAATTATTATTGTTTACCACATTATTTATACATTAATGAGGTTGCTAACTCTATTCAGACCATTTTTTTGTCAACACTGACTTAGCGCACTCTGCTGATGCATTTGAAAACTAATTCACGTTCCAATTAAGCTTCAGCATTATGCGGCATTGTGCGGCACTGAGTCGAAAAATGCTTTGTAATTGGAAAACGCACTTACTAAACTTAAAAAAACAATATAAATATTGGGATTATTATTTAGATTCTGTCTTGTCCTTATTTATTAAGTGTTAATTATAAATTACACATATTTTCATGATTTATACGTATAATATATAATTCTTATCATAAGTTTCACGTTTAAGGTGCACGCATTAATAATTCAAAACATTTTTAAGGGGTGATAAGTGCCTTTTTCTCGTGGGCAGCGGGACGAGGTGCTTATGAGGATGTAGCGTAGAAACCAAGATTCACATTAATTACATTACATTACGATAGTACCCACTTGTTTAAATAATGATTCTTGCTTTCTTATATGAAACGCCTTTCAGTTTCTTGGCGAAGTCACGCAGATAATAGTAACTTATAAGAATAAACAAAATTGAAAAGGCTCTTTGTCCCTAGATAAAAACAAAACCATATCTCAACCATAGTGTCAAAAATTTATTTATCTAGAATGCTAGACAGTTTTATACCCGTAGCTTTAATTATTACATACCAACCATGCTTATAAATTAAAATATATAAAGAAATTCATACAAATTGATGCTACAATAGTTTTCAATGGTGCTTCATTGTCAATATGTATTAATCTTGCATGATAGATTTTCAATTATTATTAGCATTTTAACATTAATCTGATATGAAAGTTTAGTGTAGTTAGAAAATAATACTCGGTACTATTGGAGAAAAGGGCACTTTTATGGGAAGGTTTAAAATGGCCTATATGCTAGGCTGAACCCCTCATTCAAATTGCACTCCTGCACCCTGGAGCAGTTAGCTAACGTATTACAGACTACTAGGTCGCACCTGAAAGTGCTGTATTATTAGGAAGGAGGGTGACGCGAGAGCCGCGGTAAAGCGTGTTGCTTCTTGCCTGTAAATATTGAAAGAATATTGATGGATAAGTGGCGCCATATTTCTGCGTACATATATATATATATATATGATATAAACTTGAAAATATCCCTGACTTAGGCTTATTAATTTAAATAACAAGTGCACTCTTTAAACTAAAGTATTCTCTCGTCATAATGAGTTAGGTATGTACTTTAGTCAAAGCGGTGCAATTTTATGAATAGGGGGTTTTGCCCCAATTTTCATATTTGCCACATTATTCAAAACCTTTATTGGGCTATAACGAGCCAGTGTTTTCTGACTTATGACTTGACATTTTAGACAACTCATATAAGATACTTGGTCTCCTATTGCTATCATAATATTCTTAGTTCAAAACATTTTGGCACAATCATTAAAAAAAGGTTATTCGAACCATATTTTTTTCAAAAGTTTTTATACTACTAGACTATTTAAATATTTATCACAGGTAGAGCCGCTTGATGGATTGATTGATGATCGATTGACTTGACATACTTTTGTTTTACTTACGGATTAGTTAAAAAAATAATTCTAGTAGTTAACAGTTCAGTTTTCAGATTCGAATAAATATAACACTACACATGTGCTACACAACCACAGCACAAAAGCTTTTTGATTCAAACTTTTTCTTTATTGTTTCTTACCCTAAACTTAGCGTAAATTTTGGCGTCAATTTTATTTAAATAGTAGTTGCACAAACCAACATCGCAATGTTACAAACCTGACATTGGAAGTGAATATATTTCATAATACTTTACCTTTAACTTACAGTCTTACGAATAGATGTGATTATTTTTGTATAAAAATACGTATATATTTAAATTCGATAAAACTGTAGGTTATATATATTATACTTATGTAAATAATAATATAATAGCTTATTTTCAAGTAAATATCAAAATTTTGTTTGTATATTTTGCAAGCTAGCGGTTTCCTGGTGCTTATTGCCTCTGAAATGCTGCTCGATTTCCGCGAGGGACTTTCCTTTAGTCTCAGGAACGAAGAACGCGACAAAGACTAACGCCAGTCCACAAAATACTGCATACAGCCAGAATGTACCGGCTGATGTTAATACAAGCTGAAAAAAATTATTATTATTCCAATGTGCAGTACTGGCGTAAACAGAAGAAAGTAAAAGAAGAATGCACCACTTACAAAATACTTGCTAAATACTTACATCTAGAGCATGATAGGACTTGATAACAGAAAACATGGAGAGCAGATTGACCGCGCTGGCCATTCCTGACAGCTGTGATCTGTAGTGCTTGGGAAAGAGTTCACCAAGCAACAAGAAGGGAAGTCCGCCAAAACCCAGAGAGAAGCCCAACATAAAAACTACCAGACTTGCAATGGGCAGATAGCTGAAAATATACGATAATACATATTAGTTGATAGGTCCGTATATAGACGCTATCTATGGGCAGACATTGTTGTATATGATAAGTAAATATTATGTTTTTTTATAGGTTATTGGTAGACTATAAATTATCTCTAATTGCAATTTAAATTTATCGTTGGCATTGAATCCGACAAAGTGTTTGATACAAACATACATTACACCTTATTTTGTTTTATATTATTTATTAAATTTTATCGCATCGCATATGTAAAAAGCAGATTTTGTTTATGAATACAAGATATAGACAGTAGCGATGCATCATAGGTAGTGATTTTACGCCAATCGATTGTTATTATTTTTAAAAAATAATAGCTAATACGGCGGTGCGTGTGGCTGTGGGATTACCGTAAGAGGTGCGTAATAATACGCCTACGCCAACGAAACGACTTTATATGAATAGTTAACGTCATATTGAACTGGAAGCAGCCGCAAAAATAGACAAGTTTTTATATAACAACATACTAATATTAGACTAGCTGTGACCTTAAAAAATATTTAACTATTAGGCAATCAAGCACGAAAAAATTACCTAAAGGCAATCATATATTATCACGATTTAGTAATGTGACTAGAACTTTTCAACCTTGGCCTATTCTCACGAGTATTCACAAAAATAGTGTTATGTTAACTTTTAATTTAAAAGGCCAGTCACGATATTTCCGTACATTGAACCTATAAACTAAGTTAGGATGTCAAGTTGTCATTCTAATACTTCACTATAAATAGTGCAAACAGTTTCCCAGCCTAATAATGCAGTTACGTCGTAAGAATGGTATTTGCAGACAAATCCAATGTCTGGAAAATTGGGAATTGTGTCAATTAAAATCAAATAATAATTAATGTGTTTATACGAGACGTTTATGTTTTGTTAATTTGTATGCTTACACCTAATTTATACGTAATAATTTGCATACATTACAAATAACATTTATACCAAATGGTAGCTAAGAATGGAAATTTTATATTTGTACAAAAAGTATACATAACGTAACATTTAGTAAAACTTGATTGTAAACACAAATGGTTTACATTTCAAACTAAGAAGAAACTACAAATACAAAATCAACGGTGGATCAAACTAAGACGAACTACAAATAAACCGCCACATCGATTGTTGATTATTTTTTTATAACATTAATAAATTTAAAAAAATATTTTAAAACTAATAAATTAAGTAAAGAGGTTTTAGTTCAGTATCTTTCGTAAGTCACCTACCGCATTACGGAATGGTCTATTGACTGGTCGATCGATTCACTGATCATCATGCCGATGCTGGGTATTTAATTTGATATCACTTGTGTGTGTCTCTGTTACGAGCACCAAGCAAGATAGCTGAGGTGAGGGATGAGGGTGAGAGGACTATATAATTGAAACTTACCCCATCCATGAATTTTGGTCGAATTCGAAGTAAAAAGAGGCACCCATGGAAACCATGGAGACTGACATAGTCGCTGCTGAGAGCAGGAGCAGCGGTCTTCGGCCAGCACGGTCGACGAGGATTGTACTAATTCCATTGCTGAATAATTGCACCGCACCCACTGTTATTGTGGCCATCATTGGATCCAATTTGCTACCTGCCAGAAAATAATTGACGTGAAAAACCAGTCCTATTTAAGGTATATCATAAGTACAAGTCTTCTGTGATTGCCGTAATTTATGTATTTTTCGTACTCTATGATTACTTCTAAACAACAATGTTTGCCTCATCATAAAAGCTTATTCAGGACATAATATTTATTTATTTCCTAATTTTCACTGAATAATATCCATTAATACGCAACCGATGTTGGGGATATCATACCCTTAGATTTGAAAGCTAAAATTGGGTGATAAACACCCTCTTTTTAGCGTTTTCTCAACGAAATATTAAATTAATAACATATCTCACAAACGAAAACTAATTTTAAGATTCTCTTGTTGGCTATGTTTTGAAAACTCAGTGAGGTTCTTGACATTTTATCAAAATAACAAAGATAAATCAGATACGATGATAATAACGTCTTTGATTGATATTCTAGTTGTATCGAAAACCTAACTCCAAAAATTTATTGTTTTTTTTAATCTTTAAAAACCAATTCTTATCGGTTATTTAGAAGTACTGTGAATGTCTTTTAGAAGTACGCTAATATTGTGTATCGATTTATCTGTATATGTATATTCTTTAAAATATACATACTAAATGATACTTTATTTATAATACCAACAATTCCGTTACAAATAATGTGTTTACGTTGTTTTATTTACCGGGTATAAATTTATTCCTTGAAATTTTTTTTACTCTCATTAAAATGAAAAGTAGATATATGACAAAATTTAACTTAGCAACTAAAAGGCACGGAGCACCTTTAATAAGATAATTTCATAGAATTCAATGATTTGATCATTTCGTTTTGCTAAAAATATCAATGCCCATATTTTAAAAGATGTCTTTGAACCAAGGCTGTTCATTTCTACTTATGTACAGTGTACACTGTAGGTATACATAGTTGCCGGTACAAAACGTTGCCGACACTATCTGGTATATAAGATTTTGCATTGACCTATTGACAGAGTAATTATATTATTATTATGTATAACGTATACTAATGTAGTACTTTTTTATTTATTTGCTTAGTGAGAAACAGAATGAAGGTTATTTTATAGTTATAGTTCAAAACATTTTACCTGATTTTTGGAAGATTTCAACTGTGAAGAAAATGACGGCATCTATACCACTAAATTGTTGGAAGAAAAGTAATGCAAATACAATTATCAATGGCTTGATCACGGGAGATGAGAAGAACACTTCCCGAGTGAAAAGACTCTTTGGTTCAGGCTCTGCAGGTACTGGATTCAAATTGCCGGATATACTCTTCACAGGCCTAGAAAGATACAGACGATGTCAATGTATATGATGCCGATTTTAGTCAGTATCACATCTAAAAGAACATTTTGAAATATGATCGGCCACAGATTAATAGTAATTTTAATAGTATCTATTTTAAAATATTATAGTCTTTAAATAATTATATAAGTATTTTATTGAATAAATTTATTTATTAATGAAGTAGAAGTAAGAACAATAATGTTTCTCTATCATTCTCATATACGTGTTTATTAAACATGGCTTTAGATACATAACACATTTGATTATTAACATCTCAATAAAAATAGTGAGATACTTACTCTTGTATACCATCTTTAACTTTAGCAACAGCGTGTTTGGATAGATGAAGCCACTTCATAGATGCACTGTTGTTCAAACCTTGTGTTTCAAGCCATACTGGAGATTCTGGCAACGGGAGGAGGGCAACAAACATACCCACTGAAACAAAAATGTTTTATCAGAAATACTATCTCACTACTATTGCCTCCTGTATATTGTCACAATTGTCCTGGATAATAAACATTAAAGTTAGTTTAAAAATAAGAAACTATTTTTGCCATTGATAGATAACATAAATATTAAGAACTAAACCTACAGGGTGGTGGTAAATCGTTTTTACAAAGGCGTGGGGCATTTTTATATAAACAAGTAATAGAAGCGACATCCGGCAAGCAATCGGGCACCTATAATTTTGAATATTTTGTATATATTATAACATTTACCTTGCGCCTTTGCGTGCGTTTTTATTTATTTTTTTACCTTTCGCTATCACGAGTTTAACTTTCTAAATCAAGATCTTTTTAAATCCATAGATTTAAATCTTGATTTTGCTGCTAATTACTACACTACTGATATTATATTCATTGCATTTGTGGTTATAACTTCTAACTACTGTCAACAAAGTGTTTGCTTGACAGGCAATAGATTAATATATAAATGAATCTAAAAAAAATATCTCAATATTATCATATATATATATATATATATATATCGATGCATCGATTGTTATTCTAATTTTAAAATAACGAAAATGTTATATTTTATTACTCGTTTCATGATTACTCTCAATTACAGAATTAGAAATATTACATGTCAAGTAAATTACGATAAAACATTAATGAACAGGGATATCATGAAAGAGAATCATATCTGAGTATAGAAACAGTTTTTAATCACCTAAATGACCAGTGTTCAAATGTAGTTAGTAGAAAATTAAACCTCATTGGATTAGACGACCACGTCACCCACATCCGTTGCTGATTTCAATATAAACGTCCTAGACTATTTTTATGACCTCAAGGTGTTATGTAACTTTTACTCGCCTATCAAAGGAAGTAGCTTATTAAGGACTACAATATATACAGTGATAGAGTCATGCGTTCGAACGCTCTGCACCAACAACGCCTATATATTCTTTCTATCTGCTCAATTATTGAGATGTATTACTATGAGAAAACCGAAGAAGTATGCCACACGTCGTACGAATATAGAAAATAATACACGAACCACAAAAGGTGGCTGAGAGAAAGGCAAGGTATCTCCAGTAAAGCCAGCTCCCCGCGATGTAGGATATGAGGATTCCCAGCGACATGGACAGCGTAGGTAGGGACCCGAGACGACCACGGATCTCGGGGTCGCAGCATTCACTCACCTGCAATTATATTTTTTTGTTTTTGTACAAATCATAATAATTCAACAATTCTGATGTTTTTTTGTGTAATAATAATAAAAAGAGGAGATGCTTCTAGCTAGGATCGTAGGGCAAGATTCTTATTTAGTGACTCGATTCAGGGGTGGCAAAGTTCTTGATTTAAATGAAAGACTTACTTTGATTCTCGGTCTAAATAAAATGTATAATCATGCATCAAATTCATGTTTCGTTATATACAGATATCTTTTGTGCCTGTGATTGTAATTACTCCTAGATTTAGGTAAATTTTCGTGAAATGCATTAATTTACAATTAGGTTTGTACAGGACGTCTGTCGGGTATTATATATATATTATATCGTCAGCCTGTATGCTGTAACGCTTTCACGCCTAAAAAAAGGCTAGGAAAAGTAAATAGTTAAGTAACCCTTCTTCGCTACAGTAAGGGATCGTCTGATAAGTGTCATAAAACCTTAAAAATGCAGCCCTAAGTATGAACTATACAACACGGACAAAGTCGCGCGAAAAAGCTGGTATTATAATAGGTTAATAGATGAATAAACATGGCTACCATTGCTGACACTGATATCAAAATGAGGTATGATAATAAAATAACGGTTTTGGTCGTATCGTTGACATATCACAACACAATACAACGAGCTACGAGTATTACATAAACAATTCCATAGGAAACACAACAGCATTGAATATCTAAACATTTTGTTTTAGTGAAATGTAATATTCATAAGTGTAACGTGCTAGTTTAATTTTGTAAGCTAAGAAAGCGACGAAACTTCGACAAGGTTTTTGTATACCACATTATATTAGCAGAGTATGTTTACAAATAACTACTGTATAAACACATCAAGGCAGGTTTCTCCGGATTCTGATAGAATTGGAAATAGGAAATTGATCCGTAAATTCTAATCATTCAATTTAAATATAAATATCCAAAGACCTTGGAATACCGATACCATATTTGATCAACAACATCTAATGGAACGTTCATGTATTGTTTATTTGACTAAACGTTTGTTCACTTTTTTGTCTAATTAATGGCAAAAAAACTAGTATTTGCTAAATGACTTCCGTGGTTAAAGAATGCCAAAGCATTAATACAAGATAAAGGAACGTTTTTCTATACGGCTGAAGATCAGTTTTTATATATAAGTCTACGGGTATTTTTTTGAATGTTTTATAGAATACCAGTGCCCCGCGAACTTCGTTTCTCTTTAATGTGATTTTACTTAGCCTACCTTTTTAGTTATGTACCTCTGTACCAACATGGAACATATTGCTATCCCAGAGACTGTTCGATTTTCCGGAATGAAAACTTTTAGGTTTTTCTGTGAATGTTTCTGTATATAAACCTCAGAGTTCAAGTTATAAGTTCTTAACTAACAAATAAAAAATAAGGGTTGATCGTAGAGAGTAGATAAAAATTAAGGGTTGTATGTATTTTTGTATGTTATATCATATAAAATAAAAACAAAAATTTTTGTCTATAAAAATATATTTTTTTTGGGGTGAGTTATCACTTAGGGGTTTGTAAGATAGATAATAGCCGATTCTCAGACTTACTCAATTTGCATAAAAAATGTCATAAGAATCGGTCGAGCGGTTTCGGAGGAGTATGGGAACGATCATTGTGACACGAGAATTTTATATATTAGATAATAAGAGTGCGTAATAGAATACTAAGGTGGTTTGATCACGCAAAGGTAATAAATGTGAAATAGATCTCGTTTCATAGAAGGCGAGAGGGTTGTTGAATTTAGGTATGAAGACCTATTTTCATCGCCAAGGAGGATCAGAGAGACATTTTTGCACAACGACAACATATCACAGAAGTGTCAGGTGATAGCAAGATATGAATAAAAATAAAACGTTATAAGGATTTGGGAAAGCAAATGCGTGATTTTATCAGATCTACCGTCATATTTAAAAAAAGCCTCCTAAACAGATCCTAGTAATCTTCTTTTTATTATGGTCATATGTTGCAACCCACTATTATCTTTTGATATAAAAGTAATTTACCTATTAAACATAGCACGAAAAATATTTGGAAACTTTCTAATTTATGGTAACGTGTTAGCCAATAGACCGGTGAAACTCTATACCAAATAACAATAGAAATTTAAACGGATGTCATACAATATGACAACACATATCCTGCAACCAACCAAAACTTCATTTCATGTAGTTTTGATACGTTTTATATATTATTCTAACCCATAATAAACATTATTTACGGAATAATATATGATTATGCGTATTCAACTTGTAAAATTATGATAATTAAATTTGTTGTTTTAAAAAAACATCTGTTGGTAAAACCCAAAAGGAGGCTTTTTGACCGGTTTATAAAAATAATCAGTGAAACGGGCACAGAAATATGTCCGTCTAATTAGGGGTTTAATCTGTCTTGTAAATATTGTTATAAAAAATTATCTAATTATATAAATTGCTGCCTATTTATTAGTTATGCTATGCTAATTTTTACATAAATTGTATAATTTATTTTTTTAAGTTCCAACTCACTTAAACTTTTAACCGGTTTGGATTATACACTAACGACGAAATCATAGACTATATAATACTGGTCCTGATTCTACAGTCTTGTTTATTTCTTTAAAATGTAAATAGCAAACAAATACATGTATCTATGACCACAACTAAGTGTGAACACTGCCTATTAAAAGAAAAAAGAAATACTTTTATTACCATTGAAATGTTTTTTGAAAGTGAACGCGTTCGTCGTGAGCAATGCCGTTTAATTTTCTTTTATGTCGACAACACTGTTTCGTGATGACTGTTCGGCAATAATCATCTTAATATTTTTTTTTAAATTAAATTTTATTTTGTATGAATGAGATAGTTTTTGTTGGTTCACCGGTCTCCGGTCACTGGTCACAGTTCACCGTTCAGACTCTAGTCATCACTGGATTAAAATTGACAACTTCTATGTTTTAAACGCTGTCCACAACTTATTTAACATCAGTTCACCGTTTATTTACGTAACGTTCTTATAATACATAAGTAATATCTGCCAAAAATATTCCATAAACAAAAAAAGGCAAAGCAGTGTTATCTAATGTCTAATGCTGTTGTCTCGTCAACTCGACATGGACAGTCTAATAAATAATATAGTCTTGTTTATATTGAACCAATTAGGTGAGTGAAATTGGAAAACTTTTTATGGCGCATAATGCTAATATTTAAAAATTTCCTTTCAAGTTGAGTCATGTCACGGGTTACAAAATATAGTTTCAACAGATGTTTACACAGGTTATTTACATCATTTAAGGATTATATGTGAGGCCTATTTGGAAACTTTGTAAATTCGATAATACTTTATGCAAATATACTTAGCTTTTACCTGATAATATATGAATTGCCTTTGCTAATACGATGTGAAATTGTTTGTTATGTTTGCAAAAATAAATAAATAAATATGACTTTCGCCGCTTCATTTACATAGAATTACGGTACTTATGCTTTTACTTACTTATCTTTATCTGATTACCAAACTGGTTTGGCATTTAAAGCGGCAAAGAGAGATTTTTTGAATCTATGTTTGGTTTTCGGATGGTAAAAATAGCACTAAGAATATAAAAAAATGTCATACTTACGTAAACTTGAACTGGAGCTAATACAAATCCCACACATAAGCCAGTGAGTATTCTACCCAGTAGCAGGATGGGAAAGATGCGCGCGAAACCAACAATTATCCATGCGGCAATCCAAAGGGGAGCTGTGAGCTTCAGCGCTCTTTTTCGGCCAGCCCGTTGCATTAATGGTCCAGAGCACATACTGCCCAAGAAAGCTCCAAATGACGCAATTGCACCTGCAAATAGACTTGGACATTAATCTTCTAAAATAGAATTTAAAAATTACGTATTCTAATTAACAAACCTTCATCAAATAATCACTATGTGTACTGCAAAATAACATGAAATTATTTAAAAACATTGTATAGTTTTATAGCATATTATCAGACTTTTAAATGTATTAAATTAGGCTAGCTTCCAACCAAGCTTCTAGCCACATTTCATTCACAAATATTAACAAATTCAATCAATTTCACCTCATCTCACCCACTTTAGCCACGAAATATTTAGGGTAAAATATTAACATTAAGCAAAGTAATCGTAACTTACCTGTCCATGACTTTTGTTCGCTGTGTTGTACAATTGTAGGATTATACTGTTGTATTGAAGGCAGCGCTGACGCAGTATATCCGCGAACCAGACCGATGATTAAAAACGCCAAAGAGGCACCTACTGTTAGCCATAACTGTAAAGAAATAAACACTCACATTTGGCTCTATTAATAAAATAATAACATTCTGCCTCATCTTTTGCGACCACTTCACCAATAATTTGTATATTTCAGAACACAGAACACCTTGCTCAGGAACAACTTGCTCACTATAAAACCGCACATACATAAAATACAAACGGGTACTTCAACCTATAATATGTAGGGATTCTTCTCTTTTTCGTACTACTAGAAGTCTATTCGACGTTTTTCATAGATGTTAAACAATTGCTTTGTATTTGGAACAAAGAGGATGTTATAAAAGGAGGAATATTGTACAGACATCGGCTGTTGATTAATTACTCAATTATAACATTACAATTAACTAACACATATTGAAGAGATAATGCACAGCCTAAGTAGCTCCTTAGATATGTAATAAACATAGAGTTAACTGTTTTCAATTATGTAATTTAATTTATCTGCGTGTAAAGTGCAATATAAATATCTTAAATAATCGCTATTAATACAATTTGAAACCACAACAAATGTGTCTTCGTCTACAGTCATAATATGATCTTCGATTTATTATCGGACTTATTGTAAGTTTTTAATAATGTACTCATTTTTAATCTTTCTACCTAAGTATTTTTAGGTTTTTAGTTGTAATTTATGGAGCCGGTTCTTCTTTATATTTATCATAAATAGGCTTGGAGTTGACTTCCTTCGACCATTTGTCACGACTACTGACAACGGAATTTTATTAATAGTTTCATCCGAGTAGCATGCAGTGATTGTTTGATAGTTTGCGATTACTTGCAAGAAGGATGTAGCACCTAAACGTACGTAACCAACTAACTATAGTAAAAAATCCAAGGTTCATACAAAACTATAGTGATTTACTAAAATTATGGTTATCTTGCTTAATTTCTTATAAAATATACTTACTGTTTTCAAGACCGATGTGTACTTTATAAAAAAACTATACGGTGACATTATTTTCTTTCTTTCCTGAACAGATTTAGGAAAGTATTCGTCGTTCGTTGGATTAATATATTTTTTGATAATTGTAGAGGGCATAATAATGATAGGGTTATTGTATTATATTTATAGAAAATACCTTGCATCTTGTCGCATTAACTTAATTCGTTATTTTCATTTTATGCATAGTGTAATAAACTAATAACATATATGCATGAATAAGCTGATATAAGCGGAAAACGGCTCAGTTTAAATTAATCTTGCACACAATACAAATTATTCAACGTGAGAATCTAAATAAAACAATTCATACAACTGCTATTATAAATAATTACACTTAAGGTGAACCTGAAGACATGTGCCTTACAGATTGTGAGGAAAAATAATATTATTTAATTAGTAAGATATTATATCAAAAGAATATTCGAGGATATTCGAGTCTAGACTTATCAATCTAAATATTTAAAAAATGTATTTTATTTGACATGCGGAAGCTGTACTCGTGACTTTAAAGCTCTCTCTCTCTCTCTCTAAATCTGACCTACGCTTAGAGCTCATATTTCTATGAATGTGATTACAATATTAATTAAATATTATTATTGATTAAAAATAACTATAGTCTAGTTGTAGTAAGTATAATACTAAAAATTTACCATCCTAACAATTACAATATATTGGAACCTATATTAATGCATTTTAGATAATGTAGATGACGTTTTGACCTTCACGAAACTCACAGAGCATTTCCTTATCTATTAAATTTTAGTTTTGCTTATACACATTAAAACAAATATCAATTTAATTAGATATATTTCTTATATTTAAAATGTTATAAGAAAATTAATTTAAGACAACCTTGTCAAAAAAAGGCAGTCAGCTTTTAAACGTCTAATCATTAATTAATGTTTGTTTTAATTTCCGGGAATGGTGGTCAAAGTTATCGTGATTTAAATATCTAAATTAAAATAAGTAGATGAAAACAAGTGAAAAACAAAACGCGTTGGGCCTTCATCAGCAATAACGTGCTATCCACTATCCACCCAAAGCCGCATTTATAAGCATTTTAACAGATAAATACACTATCTTTAACGCAATATAAACAGGAATGTATTACATTATTTACATAACTCGACGTTTCACGTGCTTTTAGCGATTGTAGTCAGCGAGAGACTATTCGCTTCTCTTTTGGCTTAAAGCACACTGCTACAGTTTAATCAAAAAGTATTATTTAAATTAGTAGCACTTGCGTAAACCAAAGAGAATATTCAATACAGCCCTGCGATTCTGTAACTCACTTTTCGAACTCACACAGCGGTTTTCGCATCGGCGGTCGCTCTCAAATCAGTCGTGAAGCAGTCATTTTATGATTTGGGATTCTGAACTACAACCTTTTCAGAATGCCAAATCATAAAATGACTGCTTCACGACTGATTTTTGAGCAGTGAGTTACAGAATCGCAAGGCTGATCTTATAATTCCTTATTCATTTATTTATTGTACTAGTCAATAGCACGTCTACGATAAATTCCTTCTACTCGTAAATACGACATATGAAAGTATATTTTGTAAAAAGTTATATAATATACCTACTAATAGTGATTTGCATTTTATTACGTAGTGTAGTTCTATGACATTTTATACCGTGTTTTTATACTATGATTGTTGTTAATAATTAAAAAGGTTTTGCAGTTCATCTAAATGAGTCATAGATAATAAGGTATATCTCTATGTGATCTGTAGTAAACTATGCTGCCAGGCTTCATTTTATTGATCATAGTGAAGGCACTTTTTTGTATAATTGACATAGTTAACCGGTTTCATGTGACCATATAATAATAGAAGGTAAACTTTTTATCTTAAATTTAATCATAATTTGCATATTAAGTAAGCCAGATCAAGGCTACAAAAATAAAATGTAATAAAGGTTGGTCGGCACATCAATAATTAAAATCACATAGGTAATATCTTATATTCCATCCTGTTCAACCCTAAAACTCCTTCCTATCTCAAAAATGATTTCAAATTTTTGGAATCCCATAACTATAGCTTACGCTCTTCCGAAAACTATATCCTTGAAATCCCATGTCATAACTCCTCTTTTCTTGGCGAGTCCTTTAAGGTCTCACAGTTAGGCTATGGAATTCACTTCCCGTCCCTATTCGCTTAGCTCCTTCTCTATCTTCCTTTAAATTTCTTCTTTACAAACATTACCTGTCCACATCGTATCCCTAACTTTCGTAATAACTACTAACTACGTGGGACTGATCTTAAATTAAATTCTTGAATTAAATTATTATGATTCATGTGCACTTTTTACTTTTTATTGTTATTTTTTTTTCATGTGTCCTTTATTAGTTTATTTTGTTTTGTTCCTGTTTAGTTTCTTAATAATTATATGTAATATATGTATTTTTGCACTTCTTGCCTACCTTATCTAATTTAATACATTTTTTTTTCTTTTCTCACAGTGGTTGCCTCGAAGAGATCGCTCGAAAGCGATAAGGCCGCCAGTTAAGCCAACAATCCTTTACATGTTAAATTATGTTAAATTTTTATATTATAATGCAACAAGTGTAAATAAATAAATATAAATTATTAACTTCTTCTTCTTCCTGATATATGAGATATACCTGACAGAACCACAGCACAGATTCGCTCACAGCCATAGGGCTGATTGCAAATACGCGCAGAGGAAAAAAAAGGTAAAGGTAGGTATCTTGTTTATAAGGAAAACTTTTGGAGTAAATAGGTGTATCCAACATATATTTGTTGCATATTTATGATACATATCTGCAAAGTACGCGATAAAGTTACTTGTTACATACCTACTAGCTCTGAACTCTAGATTTTTAAATAGAAACCATACAAGCATACGTATAATCCTACTCCTAAAGATAGTTACCCAACACATGCTGTATTCAAATTCAAGGTCTCTCTAATAAAAATGAATAGGAACCGGTTTCTTACCAATTTTGAGGTCAATATTAACAGAATGTATCCTTAAGTAGGCTAACTCTGATGTTTAGAAAGTTTTGGTGTCCCCAAAATAGTTATTATATATTGTCTGTATTTGCTTTTAGGTTTATATTGATATTTCGAATTTAATTGTAAGCAAGCCAAAGAGTAAAATAGAGTCTCTCATAGAAATGTTTGAGTTTTGTTATTTAAATTATCGATTGAGATTGTGATAAAGTCTCAGACTAGACTTATGTTTAGATTTTGAAGTTTAAAAACGGGAATAAAGAATACTTTGGACGTAAAGTTACAAATATATTTTCAAACATACTTCTTTGCATAATCATCAGATTTTCAGACAAATAAAGAGGGAAATCGGATTCGACTCAAACGGCATGCCAAAGGAAACTATTATGTTAACCTTCGAGTGTCAAGATTTACGACATTTTGCTGGAACATTTTAATTATCTTTTTTGTGAATGTCTTTACTTAATGAATGGAAATGTAATATAGTAAGACTATGTATAGTATATTTTATATATTATAAGCCTCTAGGTTCCACGTTAAAATACTAAAATATTTTTTTAAATTATTTTAACTAAAAACTATTTGAATCATTATGAACAAAAAACAGATCAGAAGTTGCGGTCTTAACCCAAACTAAGCTTGTATCTACGCGATTGAATTGCTATAATGGATATTAACAAAACATGAGGAAGCTCATTAACTTTTATGTGGTCTCTTTGTAGAAAAAAATAATAGAATTTAATATAGATAATTGTTTTTTATTAAAACTTTTTTTTTATTAAAAATTATATAAATTTTTAATGCGGTAACGTGAGTTTTATCAATAAATAAAATAATCATCTTAATGTTTTTTACGTCAATCTATCAAACTTATGTTCTAATAATATCTTGAAGACCACCTTCCGAAAAAAATTATCACACCTCTTAGTAATCACTTTTTTGTAATAATCGTTATATATATTGTTAATTTTTACGCAACTAGGCACGTGGAGCATACATTTGTAATTTAAACTATATTATAAACTTATATTATAAAATAAAATAATTTATTAAATAATAACATAATTTAGTTAGTTATTTGTTTGAGAGATTTAAAATTATAAAAATTATTGTCTAAGATTTGAATGTAACCTATTACTTAAAACTATGTACACTTTTAAAATATACGTATAGTATTATTACATTCGTGATAATGTTTCCAAACATACACAATACCTGTTTTAAAAATGCCGGTGAAATGTTCATTGTAGTTTTCAAAACAATATAACTTATAGCACGGAATGTCTGATTCGCGGTTTAATTTAGAGAGAGACCGCACTGGCTTGATCCTCCGCTGTAACTGCACCCAAACGCTTCCGCCGAACATTATACTAGTGCTTACAATCAAAAATCTCCTACAAAGCCGTCATGTGAGTCGTGATTTGCCCGATAGAGCAAATTTAGACAATTTGTAGAAATAAACCAGATTTATTATGCGATCTTTGCAACGTGAAGTTAATAATTTTTATGTGTATGATGCTGACAACGTTGATTGAAAATAATTTAGCTGACTTTAAAAGGTTTAATTCGAATATTTTTGTACATTTGAATTACGTTTTACACATACAGTACATAGGTACATATGAGGTATGTTTGACAAAATAGAAATAGATAATAATGATCAAATTGATAGTCTATGGCTGCGACTTCGTTTACGTCAATAAAAAGAAACTCTACCCAAATTAATTCTTAATTGTACCAGGTTATTAATCAACTTTATATTATTTGTCTTTAAAACTGACATTCGATTTAATTTAATCCTAATGAAATCGTTGCACATAAACCATTATATTCTCCGTAACTGTAATCTTAAGTAATTACATAAACCAATTGGTTATATCAATAGGCAATATGAGATTTTAATGGTGTTAATTTGTTGTGTATAAATCCCAGTTCAGTGCTAACCATTCAATCTGTATGCTTTAATAAACCAGACCAAAAAAATCTGATTAAACTTCTATTCTACTGATATTAAGTATAGCGTATTTTTTTTTAATAAACGGCCTTTTTAAGTAAACTAATAAGTTTGTTATAAAAAATATTTTATACTCTCTTTTTGTCTATTGTTTTACTTTTTTGGAAAATTAATTTTTGGATAGGCGGTACTTCACACTGGGCCATCGCTTGGCAACAAAACAAATATATATTGTATTGTTTTAGACTAACGACTAGACTAACACATGATGGAGGAGAAAAAATTTAAGCTATAAAGAGACGAATTATATTATTTTTGTATAATATCCGCAAACTAGCATAATATATACACTTGTTTAATGTAGTAACTACATGATACATCAACGAAAAACTAAAAAAAAATAAACAAAAATAAATCTACGTCATTTGTCGATGCTAACTTGTTAAGAACAAAGCAAAGATAATCCAGTATCAGTTGTTAACCTCCATCTAACAAAATTTATCAATGACATTAAATATTATAATCAGGGACCAATAATAATAGTCCCGTGCCGCGACAGCCCGTTCTGTATCTTATCCTTTCTTTCTTTGGCCATTTTGTTTTTTATGAGCGAATAGGTAATTAAGCATTTATGCCTGACATATCTTGTCTGTTTTTGTGGGTTTCAGACTAGTCTCACGTTTACCCTATGTTATACTATTTAAAAGAGATTGAAGAGCAAGGAGTTCCACTCCTTTACTATTTTCACAAAAAACAAAAATTGGCCATCCATATTAGAAGTTTATAAATTGTATTGATAGTTCATGTCATAGGTTGATCTAAATTTGGCCTGACTAAAATCCGTTCTGTCTTCTTGATACTATTGTTTTTTTTACTAAAAATATTTTGAGCGTGTTAATCATAAATCGATTTAAATATACTTGTGAACTTAAAATAATTAAAATTTATAATCGGTAGGTACACATATCTTCGAATAATATTTTTTTAGCTTGTACTTTATAATTGAACAGGAAATTAGAAATGTTCTTAAATTGACAATACAAAAAAGTTAATAATTTGCTCGTGAAAAACAGTCATGCTTTTTCCTTCGGATAAAAATGATCCGGCGGCGGCGAATATCAATTGTAAAATCAATTGACGATTTTTCATACAGCAGCTAAGATATTCCTTTTTTTACGCCTACCACTTATTAATACACAATACACTTAGTAAAACCTCATATACCGATCGTTTAGAAATTAAATTACAACTATTCCTCATTTGTAGCACACTCTTGGTCTAATATTACGATACCTAGGCAATACTGAAAATGTTTAGAAAATGCTTAATGTAGATAGAGCCAATACTTTTATTGTTTTTCGAAGTAATCTCCGTTCCTCTCTTCACATCGTCGCATTTGATGGAACCACTGAGAAAAGCAGTGGGCCCATTCTTCCTTAGGGGGTCTCGTCTATTGCATTTTCGCACGCTTTCACCGCATCTTCAAGACTCGTAAAGCGAATACCTCGAATTTTATCTTTAGTTTTGGGTTCATAGCAATATATCCAGCTTTCATCACCTGTGACGATGTCAAATACAGCATTTGAGTCACCGCCGTTGAACTTATCTAACATTTAGCGACACCAGTCCATACGAAGGTGTTTCTGGTCGTCGGTTAAAGTATGGGGAATCAGTCTGGTACAAAGCTTCCTGACGCCTAAATGTTCGTGTAATATTTTTTGAACTTGACTCATACCAATGCCTAGGCTTGCCCGTATCTGCTGATAGGTCACTGTCTTATCTTCCTCTATCATGCGTCGCACAGCACTGATGTTATCTTCAGTAGTCGCTGTTAAAGGACGTCCCTCACGCGGATCATCATTGAGATTGCTACGTCCACGCTTTAATTCGTTAAACCAATTGTAAATAGTGGCAAACGAACATACGTAAAACGAACAATAGTATTTAAAATTTAAAACCTATTAATTATTATAGATAGTATGTAAAATATCAAAATAATCACTGTTAAATGTACAATGGTTCTATAATTTCTTACATGTATTTTATGTTAAAAACATATTGCCTGAAAAAATTTTAAGAGCAAATGTGTTGATGTGATGTTAAAACGAGCATATTATACTTTTTTATTCTATTTATTATCATGCGGTCTATTTGTCGAGAACTTAGTTGAAGCATTACACTAAGCGTGTATACCGATTTGATTACCAATTGCTAATTAAAGTCAAAAACAAATTGGATCATGTTTTTATGAGAACGAAGTTCTTACTATAAAAGGGGCCTATAGAGATAATATTAGGTGCTCGAGGCTATGGCAATATCCGGTTACAGCGCTATACGACGAAATAATAACCCAAAATATGGAATTTTAGTGGGTTTTGTCTGTTGTTCTATCGAAAATGTGGAGACAACTTTACTTTTTGATATGACACGCACTAAAAAAAGGGTGCAAAAAACAAAGACTACAGATACAAAATATTTGGTATGCGAAAGACGACATATAAACAAACATAGCCTTATAAAAAATATTCATACATTCACATTCACAAATAAATACAAATATATTAATACATTTAAAGACAAATAGTTGGGCGAATTTATTTATTTAGTTCTTCTCTTCCGTTCTACGCCCTTGATTTGAGAACTGAATAATATGAATAAATGATTTTGACTTTTTAGATATACCCCAAAAACTACAATACGACATAACCATTAATCCATTTATAAACGAAAAAGGAAAGACAAAAATACAATATTCGGATGCGGCATAGACATTATTCTCTCCATTCATATACCCAAACATGGGTGATTGTCGCCAGACAGACATAAAATACAAAAAATAAGAAATTAAAGACATAGTTATACTTCAAGACGTATTAACGATAAAGACAAATGACACAAAATAATTTAAAAATGTATATACATATTACAAAGACGTATACAAACATATTATTTTAATGTAATGTAAAGAAAATACAAGTATATATACGCAAAAAATATAGCTATTTATATACATTACTTGCAGCCAATTAATTATAAACAAACGCCTTCTTTATGAACCAGGGCTAGAAGAGACCCCTAAGGAAGAATGGGCCCACTGCTTTTCCGAGTGGTTCCATCGAATGCAACGATGTGTAGAGAAGAACGGAGATTACTTCGAAAAACAATAACTGTATTGGCAACTTTCTACATTATGCCATCTTTCATTTTCTAAACATTTTCAGTGTTACCTAGGCACTAATACGCGGGCATTAAAAAGGGCATAAGGGAAAGGTTTTTGTGTAAAATGAATGAAACTGCAAGTGACTTGAATTTAGTTATGTGACGATTCTGAGGATTTTGTATTAAATAGTCATGTCCGCTAAATCAAGTCTATTGTAACATTACTTTGTAATTACTTATTCTTTCCGAATGTGGGGGAAAGACTAGGACAGATACCTAATAAGTTTTTTCGTGTATTCTTGCCAATCGTAATGTATATACAATCTACTACAATCGGTTTGCTATTATAATAAAAAGGGTTTAAAATGGTAAATAGTGTGTACTAGAGTGGAGGCCGAGTTCCCGGTTACTTGGTCTACGAGTTCTTTAAGAACACAAAGAAACGTTGAACATACTACATATAACATAGTACATTCAAAATAAGTATTACGTTGCACTGGAACTGCCTGAGCATAGGAAAATAAGATACCACCATCTAATTTTATTTCATACTTTATTTATACAACATAGTTTCAAATCTCTCGTTTGTACCTACAATATTTTTATATACACAGTCTATACTTATTATTTACAAGCTACAATCTAACAATTGAAGTATCAAGTACAAATTCATCATCAATAAATCGAAATATGTTAATAGTATACGTGTTGAATTGAATAAAACGGGTTTTACAGTTTTGAAAGACACTTCAACTGTTAAATATTAAGACTAGAGAACTAATGCATATCACAGCATGTTTAATATTAGTATCCTAAAAAAATCCTAGTATTATAAAAATTTGATAAATAATAAATGAGATGCACTTAAAGAAAACTTCTTTATCGGGTAAAACGTGACTAATATTAATCTTACTTTCTACTGTAAAGCAAATGTCGAAACATCAATGTCGTATGTACATAGTAAGAAACTACACATTTTTGTTAAGATAAAGAAGTTTTACTTAAATGATTTTTACTCGCGTTAACCAAAAACAATTCTAATGGAATGGCAGTTTATACTAAAAAAGCAATGTGTAAAAAGAAAAGCCACTTACAATATTGAAAATTAGCTGTTACTCTGTTAAGCTACATTATGTAAAAGATTATGTTAGATTAGGTTACGCCATTAAAACATATATATCACATTGTACTGCACTCGTTTCATGTCGTCTAAATCACACAACTGAATAATTTAGAAATCAACAATGGAAAACAACAACGTTTCTCAAGTGAGTCAGAAATAGTCGGAATTATACAGCGTTTTTTACATTTCAATCCTCAAAAGAGTAACTGATCTAAAATTTCGTTTGAACATTTTGCAAATCAATGCTCTCCTGGTGTTTTTTACCTCTGAAGTGCTGCTCAATCTCCGCGAGGGACTTTCCCTTGGTCTCAGGGACGAAGAACACGACGAAGAAGAACGCTAGCCCAGAGAAAGCGGCGTACATCCAGAATGTACCAGCAGATGTTATAATATGCTGCAATGTTAAATTTGTTTATTAAAAAAAACTGAAACTAAAATATGACATCTGGATTGGCAAGTATCACAACTTTAATAGAAGAAATAATTTTCATTATTAAAAAAATAACATTGCATATAAAATAAGAATAACGTGATATATATCTCTATATTCCTATATATTATACATAAATCATGATAATTACCGAATTTTTTTTTTGTTTGCACATACCTCTAACGGGTGATAAGACTTGAGGACCACAAACATGGACGATAAGTTCACTGCGCTTGCCATTGCAGACAGCTGCGATCTGTAGTGTTTGGGGAACAGTTCACCCAGCAGTAGGAATGGAAGACCACCGAATCCTAGGGAGAATCCCAACATGAACACCACAAGGCTCATGATCGGAAGATACCTGATTACAAAAAAAAAACAATTTACAAAAGAAAAACGTTGCGTAATTAGAAGGTTTTTATAACGACGTCTGTTTTTTCTGTTCAATTAACGCGGTATAAACATAAATTACCATAAAATCTAGGTCTTCAGACCTTACTGAATGATCAATATAGCTAAAAATTTTGAGTTAATTTGAAGTGCCGCTTAGGTAACGACCGAGTCACGACCTGTCAAGGTAACTGACCGAAGAATTTATCATCAATGTTTTATTTGATGATGTGCATTTTGTTAATTGCAAAATGCACATAATGTTAAAACTTCGGCTTGCAAAATATGACGTAAAATAAATATTAATCTACTGTCAAATTACGTTATATAGTCGACAATAAATTATGATAAGAACAGATATTATTTAAACAAAAAGTAACTGTAACTGTTTACTTTAACTCAGTATTTATTGAATCAGTCCTAGTACTGTTGCACTAATAAATCGTAATATATATATTTCTTGTGTGCGTGTGTATGTGACTGAACTCCTCCTAAACGACTGGACCAATTTTGATGAAATTTTTTGTGTGTGTTCGTGGAGATTCGAGAATGGTTTAGATTCACAAATCAGCCCGGCAGATGGCACTGCAGTCGGTACTTTCATACTTTGCTTAATATCCTAATCGCTTTAAATATCATGCAGGACAACGTCTGTGGGGTCCACTAGTTGTATTATAAAATGTAATTTAAAATGTATAATACTGCTAATTTTTCTTTTGACTTCACAATCATTAGCTTTAATCTTAACAAATACAATACAGTTACCCTAGCCATGACGCCTTTTCAAATTCGAAGTAAAAAGCCGCTCCCATTGAAACCATCGAAACGCACATTGTGATAGAAGAAAGAAGTAATAACGGCCTTCGTCCAGCTCTGTCCACTAACATCGTGCTGATACCATTGCTAAACAATTGCACTGCCCCCACAATAATAGTTGCGGTCATTGGGTTTAATGTGCTGCCTGTTAACAAAATATTGACATATATACTCAAATTCGTACACAAAGAAACTTTACACGTCGCATGGTCACAGTTGAAAAGTGTATGAATATAATAAGTATATTGACTGTTCAATAAGGTCTAGGATAGAAGACCTCTTGCCTCAACCTCTAATAAATCACATTATTTATTGCCTTTTTGTTTATGTAAATCCCTTCAGGTTTGTTTTTTCACATAACGCACGAATTTGTTAAGGAATCGAAATTAGTTGGAGATGCCACGACCAATATAATATAGGGTATACAATATACAATATACATACCTGCATTTTGGAAGATTTCTACGGTAAAGTAAATTATGGTGTCGATACCGCTAAACTGTTGGAGGAACAACAAAGCGAAACCAATAATTAGCGGCTTGGTTACTGAAGGCGAAAAGAACACCTCTCGCGTGAACAAACTCTTTGGAGGTTCTTCTACTGGTTTGAGGCTGTTACCGCTTATACTTTTTACAGGTCTGAAAGGGAACGTTAGTTTAGTTTAACTTAAATAATACTGATATTCTTTTTTTTATTCTTATAAGAATAAAATATAAATTATATGATGCCAGAATCGTTGATGTCCATGCGGATGATATATGACACAAGAATAGGTCTCACAAAGTTATTTCAAAATAAAGATTAGCACTTTTCCGCCCTCCTAATTGTATGCAATGAGGTGTTAACTATTATAAAAAGGAAAACTTACTCCTGTGTTTCTCCATTTACAGCAGCCACGGCATGCTTTGAAAGATGGAGCCACTTCATGGCATACTCGTTGTCTAAGCCTTGGGTTTCTAACCACACAGGTGACTCGGGTAGTCGAATCAAAACCACGAATAACGCCGCTACATAAAAGAAATGAATATAAAAAGTGTAATGGACACACGAAGTCAAGTTCGAGAGAAATAGTTATAAATAATATATATTTTAATTACTATTTTATATCGATGTACTAATATTAGGTCCTTACATATGAAATTGGCGTTTTGTATGGGAGGAACAAAAAGTCGAATATTTTTAAATATAATATATTAAATTAATCAAAGTATGAACCATTGTTTTCTATGCACTTTTGCCATCTCATAGGTAGTTCATTGATCCCTTTACTAAAAAAACCAGTCGGACGGGAATCAATAAAATCTGTGAAGGCGATTGGGACTGCCCCACCAGAGTTAAATTTTTTCCCTTGCAAGAAGTTGTGCAAATTTCGAAAAAAATGGTAATCTGTTGGAGCAAGGTCCGGGGAGTACGGAGGATGTCTTGGACATTCCAATTGAAGCTCTTCTAATTTGGTAGCCGTCTGTTGTGCAGTGAGTGGTCTAGCGTTGTCGTGAAGTAGCAGTGGCGTGGACCAATTGACCAGCCTAGGTTGTTTAGCCGCTAGCTTTTCCATCATGGTTTGCAATTGCTGACAATAGACATCAGCCGTAATAGTCTGGCCAGATTTGAGAAAACTGCAATAAACAATACCGGCACTAGTCCACCAAATGCTTACAAGTAACTTTTTTGGGGTTAATTTTCGCTTGGGGCAGGATTTGGCTGGCTGGCCAGGATCCAACCACTGCGCTGAGCGCTTCCAATTATCGTAAAGAATCCATTTTTCATCACAGGTAATGATTCGGTTTAAAATACCTTCATTATTGTGCCGGTTCAGTAATGTAACGCAGCAGTCGACGCGCGTTTGCTGGTTTGCTTTAGTCAATTCGTGAGGATTAAAAAGCTTGAAAGAGGGGTACTCTTTCAAGCTTTTTAATCTTCCCAATTTGCTTCAAGTGAATTAAAACAGTTTTATCACTAACACCGCAGCCTGCAGCTAACTCGGACGTGGTTTGCGATGGATCCGCTTTCACAATAGCCTTCAATACTTCATTATCAACTTCAACGTCCACGGGGCTTGTTCTGCAGGTCGAAATTTCCAGAACGAAAACGTTGGAACCAAAAACGAACTGTGTTTTCTTTTGCAACATGACCGCCATACACATCATTCACCCTTCGAGTCGTTTCCGCATCACTAGTGCCATGGCGGAACTCGTACTCGTAAATAATGCGATTACTTTAAGTTTTCCATTTTGTAAAATGAGTGACGCAAACAGAAAAATACAGAAGAAAAAAACAAATGAATGACGGTCATCGAAGCACAAATACATGAGTAAATAGCTGTACAAATTTAAATTTGGAATTCCTTACCAAAGAGGAGAACATCGTGATTAAAGTGGCCAGTACGAAATATGCCAATTTCATATGTAAGGACCTAATATTTTAACTAACAATCTTAGACCAGCAGTAGCTAATTTTGGGAACTAAGCTGAGTATTTATATTTACCTAAAAAACTATCTTATTCGCCTTTTTGGTTCGCTCTATAGGGTCTGTGTTGTACTTATTATTACTTTAATTTGTAACAAGAGTAATTCATTTTAACAATAAATAAATCACTTACCACAAAATGTGGCGGACAGAAATGCAAGATATCTCCAGTAAAGCCAACTGCCCGCGATGTAGGAGATGAGAATTCCCAGGGACATGGACAGTGTAGGTAAAGAGCCAAGACGACCACGGATCTCAGGGTCGCAGCATTCACTCACCTTTAGTGAAAAAGTAGTGAACTAAATATTTTATCGAATACAGTAAGCAGACAAATAATCTAATTGATGTCAAGACGAAGAAGAAACACATTCTTTAATACATTTATATTTTTCAATTGTGTTTTCAGCAACTTATCTTAACAACATTACCGACATTTTATTCCCATTATTGTTGTTCATTTCCGTTTTAGATTAAAAAGAACTTACATATACTTGCGTGGGTGCAAGCACTAGGCCGATTCCTAGACCGGACATAATCCTTCCCAATAGCACTATAGGAAAATTAGGTGCGAAACCTAGGATGAGCCATCCAGCTCCCCACAATGGTGCTGTCAGCTGAAGGGTCCGTCTTCTACCCGCATGATGCATTAAAGGTCCCGATAACAAACTGCCCAGAAATGACCCCAAAGGTGTGATTGAACCTGTAGAATTTGAAAATTAAACTTCTAAGGGTTGTTAAAATATCATAACCCCCAATATGAGGGACTTTTGAAGTCATTATTTTTTATTTTTAAGAATATACCGCATTTGGTGAATCCGCCTTCAATGCCTTCCGAACCGAAGCAAACGATTTAACATAGCCGCCCCTAAATGGTCATAAGTTCTGTTATCTAATGTATCACTTACAGAGAAGTATGATTGTATTGGAGATATAATTATGGCTATTATTTCTATTTTCCGGAATGAGGCAATCAAAAGTAATTTTGCTATTTACGCGCATTACTTCTACAATTTTTCTACTTTACAAATTTATTGACTATTAGACATATTGTATATAGCAGTAGTGAGCATGATGATATTAAGTAGCTTACGTACCAATCCAGGACTTTTGTTCACTCGATTGCATTAGACCAGGGTCATGTGACTCTATTGATGGAAGGGCAGATGAAGAGTAACCTCGAACTAATCCGATGATGAGAAACGCCAGGGACGCAGCGATTGTTAGCCATAGCTAAAAGAATACAATACCTTGTTGTAATTACGTTATTTTTGATCTTTTTTATACGTCAAAAGTTTTTCTAATTTTACATCTTTATTTTAATGTTAAGTAGCTGTTTCGCCAGTTCATTTCAAGTTGTAAGCCCGATGAATACTATGATCAAACGGGGTTTATGTTTGTAATGATTTACCATGCAGCAATTTTATAATAACATTAAACCAAATGTTTACTTGCAGAAAGTTCTGATTATTTCTCTACTTTTAAATAAAATAGTCGTATTTAAGTGGAACTATAAATTAATATTGAAAATGCAATTTTTAGTTTCTAGTTATCTATACACAACAGAACAGTTTGCACCTAATTCTTTACATAACATGACAACAAATATAAGTACAACTTGTCGATGTATAGATGTATAATAACTTATAAATCTACATTCTTTGGGTAAATTGGAATATATTTAAATAAACAATTAAGATCCAATGGCGCTTCAACCCTATATATGGCTCTTAACTTCAGATTTGCTGCTTATTTTATTTTATAATCTGATCTAGTCTATTACTGATTGGCATACCGAAAGATATTGTAAAACACGTCAAAAGATCTCATCTTTCGATTAGCTTCCCACTTATTCTGTTAATCAAGTCATTCAGATAAAAAAGATATTTGAAGTGGATCAATCATGTGATTCTGAATGCGCGCAATTGCGTTAAGATAATCTCAATTTGAGTACTTGAATTTTCCTTAACCGTTACATCGACGTTATCTCTATTCGATAGAGTGAGTAACATAGAAGGTACTTAAAAATGCGGCGACTGTTAACTTGGGGAAATTGTAATACATATAACATTTTTAATAGTCCTTATATAAATATTTAATAGTAACATTTTTCACGGTAGTGAACGTACTACATAGTACCATACATAAAATGGTTCGCAACCGCGTTGTCAACATTTATAAAATGAGATGCTCCTTTCTGGAAGGACTTTTTTTTTCTTGAAGGAGACTCATGCTGCACTGCTCGAAGTTTAAATATTAAATATACGTTCTTCTTATAGTGCCATCTCTCCTTTCGTAGGTTGGCGATCATCATGGCTACTTAAAATTGAGATGCCGCGCTTCTAAACAATGACTTAGTGCTTTGACCAACAACTTTTCGACCAAGACGTGCGTTTGCGGCCGGGCCTCCTTCTACCACTGCACACATTGGCTTGTATGATTAGTTGAAAGAGCGGGTTTAGTTTGGTGATACGTAAGACATGTCCGAAATAGTCGAGTCTCCTTTTCTTAACCGTTATAAGCACTTCTTTGTTCTTCTGCATTCTGTCCAGCACTGTTGTATTTCGTATGCAGACCGCAAGATATTTCAAGCATTCGTTGATAAACCCACATCTCAGTTCTTCCAGTTTTTTGGACATAGTTACAATATTTAACACTTGAATGTACGTTCAACATATTGAATTTTTAATTTAAAAAAATATTTCTTTTTTTTCCATTTCTACATTAATTTTGTGATTACTTTAATTGATGTGATTGTGTGTAAAAATTTCAATGTGATAATTTTATGCATGCATATTGTTTTAGGACTTAAATTAATTAATACAAAAACAGTAAAAATTACGCAGCAATCCACTGAACCATTAATTTATTTTAAACTTACTTTCTACCATTACAATCATCTGTATATTTCTATAAAATCAAATAAATGTATAATCAGGAAATAATATAATAGACGTAACACTGTATCTGTATGTTTAATTCTACTTACGGAACTAAAAATAAAAACTGAGGAATACAACAACAACCACAAAAATCAATCATTCACCGAAACTCTAAACTAATAATTTATTTTGATTTTCTAATGAACTTGATTTTTTTACGTTCGATATTCCATATTTTGGATTTATATCCGAATATGACGTAAGAGAATATTTTTAATACAGTTGCTCAAAAAGTGGCGTATTGCAGGAACGTATAGCGTTCGGGAAGTGGGCTATTACACACTCGTGCTTTTTTTTACCTTTTCCGAACTAGTGCGTTTTCTTTCCCAACTGTCAAAATAATGTCTATTAAAAAGAAAAAACCAACCACGAAGTTTTTACTAAAAAAATTCATAGAAATTTTTATGATTCATGCAAATATTTCTAAAAAGAAGCTACTGCTTTGTTTCAATATAAGATTTAATGATTTGATTCAATGAGTTAGGTTAGATTTCATTTCATCTCCTTAAATTTTATTTCATATCAATAAAAAATTGTACTGAAGACTTGGCTGTATGGGCATAGTTCCCTTTGCCTACCCAGAATGGGTGAAGAAAAAAAAAATATCTGCTTATATTCTTTTACGGTTGGCGCCATTTTCCAAAAATGTTCTTTGCGCGTTTAGTTGTTTGTTATATTATATATTAAATATTCATGAAAAATCATACGAAATAAATAATAGTTTGTCTCAAACAGTAAATAAATATGCAACCTAAAACTTCTCCAGTTAGTATAAAAAACTGTACCAATGTATATGTGAACAATAATTTGTATAAGAAATAAATGATTAGTGAGTTGAGTTTATTGTTTTTTTTATTATTTTATTAAATTGCATAATTTTTTCGCAATTGTATTAAAAATAGTTGTTCAGTACACGTGCGGAACCGTCATTGCAACTTGTTCCGACTGTCAACCCTCACCTTCGGCTGCGCCTCGGCTCGGGTAGACATTTGTCGAAACTCTTTGCAATGACAGGCTTTCCGCATTTGTAATGAAATATACTATTATTTAAAAGTATTACTCGCGTTAATTAAACTTTAATTTATCTCACCAAGTAATAAAAAAAATAAGTTACCTGTTTCAAAAACGCAGTTGATAATTTCGTCATCGTTCTTTACGAGTTTATAATCACTGTTTAATTGACACCGAATTTATACACTTAATTCTTATTTATATTTCTTAATTTATTTCCCAGCCAGAGTCAGCAAGTCCGTCATGTGTTGATCTAAGCTGCTGACTGCAGTCGTTTTCCGCTAAACACGTTATTATAGATTAGAGATCACAATCAAAAATCAGTGTTTACAATTGTCATGTGAGTGATTTACTTGCTAATGCGGCTAATGTTTAAAATACAAATAAGCAAGTAATTGAGAGTTCAACAAAATCGTTTAAATTTGACAGATCGAAAGGAAAATACAACTATCACGACAATTAAATTATATTCAACAAATGAGAATAGAATTTTCGAAGAATTTTTAAATGAGAGAAGTATTACGTGTATTCCAACAATCTGGAAAAATCCGTAAAAAGTAAGGTTCGGTTAATAACAATTATTATTCTATATAGAGAATTTAGTTTGTATTAAGCCTTAGCATAAACAAACTCCTTTATTAAAAATAATATAACAGTAATAACAATCATATTTATGGCTATATTATACTGTACAGCTTTTGTGAGAGACCTGGGAGGATAATAAGACTTATAAAAGCTACTAGTAACTGGTCAGATCAAATAACCTCTTACCTCGTTCCGTAAGCGCCTACTCTGGTTTCGTCGTCAGCTTTCGTCAGCGGCGTGATGCTCACGTTCTCCATCTCTTATATTCCATCCTCTTAAATCTTAAAATTCCTCCATACAGTAAGAATGATTATAATTCATGGGAGCTCATAGCTGTAGCCTACGCCCGTCTGAAAACTATATCCTTGAAATCCCATCACATAACACTTTCTTTCTTGGCGAATCCTTTTAAGTCTCTGCAGTGAGGCTATGGAATTCACTTCCTGTCCCTTTGGCTTAAATCCTTCTTCCATTCCTTTAAATCTCTACTGTACAAGTATTACCTGTCCATATGGAATCCCTAACTTTCGTACTAAATGATTTACTGAAATTATTAGGATTGAGATGTCCTTTTTCATTTTACTTTACATTGTCTACACATGTTTTAATTGCTTTGTTTTCTTCCATTATTTATATGTAAGTTATTGAAGAATATCTTATTTAACCTTATTTAATTTAATTTCTGCTTTTTGCACAGTGGTTGCCTGAAATAGATCACTGATCACTCACACGCGATAAGGCCTTCCCTTTTATTTGTACTGTATTTTTTGTAACGAAGTATAAACAAATATTATATTGCTGAAAATATATTTTAAACACTTATAAGAATGGTTGCAGCTATTAATGGTACACGCTGCAATGTGAATCAAATTAGAGGTGAAAATGTTATCATTTTATTATTTTATTTTACCGTTTTACAGACTACCGCTTCGCTTGAAAAAATAACTGTTGTTCGCCTTTAGGTTTCTTGTGAACTTCTTTAACTCTTCAAGAGATGATATTTAGGTGCGTAAAAAGTCAGCTAATTGACGCATAACTTATCTAACGAATAGGCTTTGAAGAATTGTTTGTTCCTCCCAACTGAAACCAATTGTTGTTTCGCAGGGAATCTAAACAGTGAAAAAAAGGCTTATTTAATAAATGAAATTTTATGCGAATGAGATTGTGTCATGATTAGGCACGTGACGATGACAAATTCGATTGGCGTTATTGGGTCACGCCTATCGGAGATTTAAGGTACTAATCTACTCCTGCTATTTTTAAACAACTACGTCACTGCCATTTACAAATTATGAATAATTATATTCGATAATGTATGCCTTAAATTGCTTTATTTATACGACAAAAGATTGTTATTAACTAGTACGTGTGACGCTAGTCAAGGCGATACTTAGTTTATGACAAGATAGAATAGGGTCGTTAAAACACAATAAATTTTACTAAGAAAATAATTGGATAATTTAAAATTTGAATGAAGTTGTAATTCCTAATGAAGTCAATAATATAATAGGCATTAACAAATTAGATTTAAAGTTTTTAATTAAAATAATGAAATATTCTTGTTATTTTTAATGTCTCAGGTTTTATAAACAATACGGTCTCTTCGCTATTTTTGTTCAGTAAATACTTATAAAGATATAATAAATTGAAATAGAAATAACTTATACTCCAATAAGTTTTTACACCATGTCGCAGAACAATAGTAGTGCAATATTTAGTAGTATAAATTAATTGTTCAGTGGAAGTTAATCTATGGGCAAGTGTCATTGACGTCGTAATGCCGCTACGGCACGTAGCCTACTGCTACGAATATACTTTATGACTGACTTTTAAAGAACATAAATAATTTAAAGCATTTTATGATTTTATATAATGACATAAAGTAACTTATAAATAGGAAGGACCTCTATTTTTGAACGGTTATAAACTAAAACTACTGGATTAATTTCAATAATTATATCATCACAATATTATTAAGGTAGTATATATATGTAAATAACAAGTACCGTAAATGGTTTTCTGAAGTTCTTAGATTTTTCTGAAGTTTTAATAACAAAAAACGTACATGTTTTTATTACTATTATTTACGATATAATTATTAACGAATAAATTTCTATGTATTTATGAGTTTTAAATGCGATTAACTGTAAGTTGGGTCTACCATTTAGAATGATGCAAATTTTCCTCAAAAAATGAGTCCCAAAGTAAACTAACGTCACGAGTCGCTAAAAGTTTATTCAAACATGTGTCTTCATTATCAGTATGAATGTCATGTGACTTGGAGAACCGCCCTTCGAACCACGTGAAAATAATTATTACACAATGCACTTTTTATGTATCGCGATAATAACATAAACAGGTATTTAATATAAATTGTATATAAAATTCAAAATATATTATTGATTGATTTCGCGGGCGATGATGAAAATTTTAGTCGTGAGTTCGAACCCCGGCCCGGCCGTGCGCCAATGGATATTTATTTATGTGTAGGATAAATACTTGCGTCTATGGGAAAGCAAACCAATGTAAGGACGAAGGTTAATTAAGATATAAGTTAAAACCTATGAAAATTAAATATTTAATTTATTTATGTTCCACGGAGATTCAATCTATATATTTTTATTTATCTAGCAATTCTCGATGCGTACCAATTAAAGCTCTTACCCAATATATCGGATAAGATAGCCCAAAGATAAACGTGTTCCAAATCAATTAATCGACAACTATTTAGTATTGAATTTAAACTAAATACAAAATGTTGATATATCTGTTATTTATTCCATTTTTATTACTTCAAAATGTCCAAGGTAACTAATTAGGGCTATATGAAACTAAATATTTTTTTATTTGTTGTCATAATGTATCACATGATTTTATAATTACAGCTCAGTTCGGTGATTACAAACAAGACTTCGGTTATGTGGAAGTTAGAACAGGTGCTCATATGTTTTATTGGCTATATTATACCACGGCCGACGTAAGCCACTACACAGAGAGACCATTGATAGTTTGGCTTCAAGGCGGGCCTGGAGGTTCATCGACAGCTACAGGAAATTTCGAGATTTTGGGCCCCCTCGATTTGTCTTTACAAGAGAGGAACTATACGTGGGTAGGTTTTGATTTCTATTCCGTATAAGGAAGTTCATATTTTGTAAATAATACATTTGAATGATAGATAGTATTTATGTTTTTAGATTAAAAACTTCAATGTTATCTTCTTGGACAATCCGGTCGGGACAGGTTTTAGTTATGTCGATGACTTAAGCCTTCTTACAACCAATAACGACGAAATCGGTAATAACATGTCATATTTAATTAAACTTTAATAAAATAATAGAAGATACGGGTACCTTGAAAGTTGAGAGACTCTTTGATTCGATATTAACCAAAATATTTGTTACACTTAAATCGCTTAGCTTAGAATGAGTATGAGTTTTGATAACATTTGAGAGAAGTAAAAGCAGTATTAAACTATAGATTTTTACACATAAATTTCTTATTATTATTATGCTTGTACCAATTTTTACATTGCTTTTAACTCTAAAAATGAGATATCTAGACTAGTTAATTTTAATTATTTTAAACATTAAGAATTTTAATTGGAGAAAATTTCTTAATAATGAAATTTTTTGACTAAAAATAAAGACTCATATAATCATATGTTTGAATTTAATGTAAATAAATTATTATGTTTGTGGTTTTTCGTTTCGCCTAGTATTTCGTTTAAAAAGACGACATTATCTCCGTGGTTATTAAGAGATAAAACTTTAATTTGAAGTCGAGTTTTGTACAATAATAGATAGGTACGTTCACTTCGATATTTCAAGGTGTGTTTTTATTCCAGCACAAGATTTCGTAAAACTTATGCAAGGTTTCTACACCAACCATCCAGAATTTGAAACAGTACCACTATACATTTACGGACAGTCTTATGGAGGAAAAATGGCCGTAGACATGGGTATCCGTATGCGAGAAGTAATGAAACAAATATTATGTAAAACTAGTTGTTTTTTCTACTAGGAACTTCGTTTCGCCTTATGATTTTTATGCAACTGATGGTTTTTCATGCAATTTTTCCAATTTTTTTCTCTACAAAAACCTGCATCAGAGTTCAAGGAATACTCAAATAAAAAAATATTTTAATTGGTCCATACGTCTTCGAGTTTTGCGCTTAGCAATATATTTTTATGTATTCAGCGATAATTTCGTCTTTTGTGTCTAAAAGATACATATTATATATTGCTCTCAAAAGGTACACTTTGTCAAGCACGTCGATCATTTAAACAAACGACTTCTTAAATGATTATGCTTACCATAAAAATATAAGTATAGAATTAATATTGAAAAAAGGGGTATCCTTCTAGGCTGAACAAAGTGGAACTATCCGATCTAACTTGCGAGGAATTGCAATGGGTAATGCTTGGATATCTCCCGTTGATGCAACTTTAACTTGGGGTCCTCTGTTGCTGGCTGCTGGCCTAGTAGATCAAAGTGGCTATGAAGATATTCAATTGCAAGCCAGAGAAGCCGAAAGATTATTTAACGCTGGTG